TGAAAATGTAGCGTTATTGACGCTGCCCTCGCAGGAGAGTGCCGTGTCCCTCCTCCTGACCCGCACCGCCAGGCTCTCTCAGTCCCTGATGCCACTGACATTGGGGCCAGGGAATTCTTGGCTGTGGGCTGCTGTGCGCGCTGTGGGGAGCTTGTTACCCCGTCTCTATCTGCCCGATGCTCGTAGCACCCCCACCATGTGACACTGCAGGGTTTTAAGACGTTGCCAAATGCTGCCTGAGGACCGAGCCACCCCCAGTGGAGAGCCGCCGTCCCACACTAAATGCATTGATAGCATCTCCTGCATACAAGTCCCCTCTGCCGCCTCCTTTATTTAAACACCAACAAACATCTCTCACCCCTGTGGCTCTGGAGTGACAGCGAGGAAGATCCATCCCTTATCCTTCAGGAGTCACCTGGCGATGGCATAGCCGTGACTGCCCCCTAAAGGGCAGGAGCGGGAGGGGGAGAGATGGCTGCGGCCAGGAGGCGGTGGCCCGGAGCGAGGGTGGCCATCTGGGACGGCTCCTCAGAGGAGCCGCCAGGTTTTCCGGAGGCCAGTCCCCTGGTCGCAGAGGCGAGCAGTGCTGAGAGTCTCGGGCCCTGCAGTGTGACCCCGAGGCCGCAGAGCCTGGTGAGGGGGCGGGGGAGCCTGCAGCCGTGCCAAGATCGGTGAAGTGGCGCACGGCTGCCGGGGTGGAACCGATCCGACACCCGGAGTCTCGCTCTGCATCCCGTGAGCCCCGGCTCTGGGAGCCTGCGCGTTGTAACCGGAGGACAGTGTCGCCCCGCGGTTCCGCAGGTGGGCCTGTGCATCTTGGGTAGTTGTTCAGTCCAGACTCAAGGCTGCTTGAGCACACGTGGGCCTCCCACGTTGACCAGGGGTTCACCGGGAAACGGGTGCTCACCAGCAGGGCTGTTTTCCCTCCCAGTCGCCTAGTCTCGCTCACAGAATGCGAGATGCATTGACAGGGAGTTTACCTGGCTGTTGGGGAGATAAGATGAAGACACAGAAGCCCGTTTGTCTTTACACGTCCCGGGGGGGCGAGGGTGGAGGGGGGTGGAGGAGGGTGAACAGAGAATGATGATGACAGTAACTTCTTTGTATCGTGTCTTCGTTTTCCTAATGGGGTCCCGGGGGGCGAGGGTGGAGGGGGGTGAACAGAGAACGATGATGACAGTGACTTCTTTGTATCGTGTCTTCGTTTTCCTAATGGCATCCCCCTGTTACGTCCCCTGGTCATCACAGCAGCCAGTGGGTTTTAGTTGGCAGATAGCCTCACTCCATTGAGTAAGGAGGAGCCGGAGCTGGAGAGAGTGCTCTGCCCACATGACCCTGGCAGCTCCAGGGCCGGTTCCCTCTGCACCCTCCCCACGGGAAGGGAAGGGACATAGAGGGTCCCTTCTCCAGGTCATCGAGACGCAGGGACGAAGATTTGAGCTATGACCAAAAATCCTTTGCCAGATGCCTTTCCGAGGCCCCAGCATAGTCGACCTATGAGCCAGGAGGTCGTGTTTCATCCTTAGTAGGAGGCAGCCCATCATTGATTCTTGCTCATCATTGATGTTTCCATCTCTCTCGCTCCCTCTCTCTTAAATCAATAAAAATATATTTAAAAAGAATGCACGCACAGAGCGGAGATGCTGAAATGGCTCATGAGGCTGCCCATCCGCGTCCTCACTCTGCCTCTCACCTGGCTGTGCTCAGTGGCAGGAGGGCCGGCAGCTCAGGGCGGGAGGAGGTGGGCTTCCCTCTCCGGCTCTGGTTCTGCTTTTCCCGATGGCACTCACTGCTTGTCTCGTGGTTCCGCAGCTTTGACCCGAAGAGAGCGGTGCAGCAGCTCCGAGCGTGCGGGGTGCTGGAGACGATCCGAATCAGCGCAGCCGGCTACCCGTCCAGGTACGTGCCGCCGGCCACACCCTGGTGCACCCAGGGGCCCTCTCGTGGGCTGTCCGCCAGAAACAGGTCCTCAAAACTGTTCCCGAGCACTGAGGGCCAGGCAGGGTGCTGGCGGAAATGAGTGTTCCCGTCTGGTCTGAAAAGTGTGGGCGTCGCCAGCGACATCCTCGGGCAGCTTTCAGATTTCAACCTGGCATTGGTCTGAGTGATGCACTGGCCGCTTGCAAAGGAGATTTCTCCTTTACTCAGCTCCCACCTTGCCCCCTACCTCCTTCCCCTCTTATTGTGGTAAAACACACATCATATTTACGATTTCTGAGTGTGCAGTCCAGTGGCATTAGCACATTCACATTGTCATGCACCCATCACCTGCATCCGTTTGCAGAACTGACACTCTGTACCCATGAAGCAGTCACTCCCGTCCCACCGCCCCCAGCCCCTGACAACCACTGTCGCACTTTCTGCCTCAGTGGAAGCCGGAGGCGATTGGAAGCTGGGCTGCTTTCACATGAGTGGAGTCGTACAGTGTCTGTCCTTCTGTGACGGGCTTATTTCACGGACCATAATGTCCTCAGGGTCCACCCGTGTCGTAGCGTGTGTCAGAACATGCTTCCTTTTTAAGGCTGAGTAACAGTCCGTTGTATGTGTAGCCCACACGTTGTTTATCCGTTCGTCTGTCAGTGGACTCCTTCACCTTTCAATATAGAATCAAATCTCTGGTGGAAAATACAACTTGAGTCAAAGGACAGCTGTTGTGACCCAGCCTGCCTCAGGGATGAGCATGGAGCCACCCCGTGGCCACTCCGTATCTATTGAAGCTGGGCCCAGGCTGTGGCACGTGCCCGGAATGGGGCTGGGGGGCAGGAGTGATCAACCAGCGCTCGAGAAAGCGCACTGCGCACCAGCGTCACAGCAACCACTGGCCGTGCGGTGGCCCTGAGCAGGGACAGTCGCAGGCCGGAGCCTGTGGGGTTTTCCTGTGTCCCGAGAAGTCCCATGCGTCAGGAGGTGGAGGGGTGCCTCCCCTGCCCCCGCATCCCTGCATCTCCACCTGCGCCTTCCCAGGGCCTTGAGGAACTGCTTCATGCGCAGGGCTCACTTACAGAAACAGCTTCGCCGTCCATCGTCCCCAAGCCGGGGGCCTGGGAGGAAGCTGCTGCCGGAGCTGGAATTTGCACTTGACCCGGAAAGCGCAGAGCTGCCACTCCGCTGCAGCACCCAGGCAGCTTTGCAGAGCTCCATGGTCACGGCTTTGTTCGGAGGCTGTGCTCCGCCAGGTGCGAGGGGGGCTGTGCCCTTCCAGCCCCATCCCCCTGCCTAGAAGCAAGACGGGGAGTGTCCTGGGCCCCGTCTCCTTTCTGAACCTGGGTCTGAAGACAAGTACCTGAAGCCGCAGGACTGATGCGCGAGCCACGCCCAAGGTTGGACGAAGGCGGCTTTCCTTCCGGGGCCGGACTGTTGGGCTCCAGCCTTTAGATAGAGGGACTGGGGCCCAGGCCATGGGCAGTAGTTCAGCTTCAAATTCAAAGCCCTGTGCTCTGGCCGATTGGATTGCCTCTCAGCGACTGTTCCTTGCACAGGGTTCAGACCAGACACAGTTCATGCAACTTGAGAGAGAGACAGGGCCTCAGGAGCACTGAGCCGCCCGTTCCAGACCACACACCACAGGAGGCGGCCCCCTCCCCCTCCTGCCAATGGCCCTTCTGTCCCCGCTCCCAGGAAGGTTTCCTTCGCCCCCACCTTCCGTCCAGCGTCCCTCAAAACCCATCGCAACCCGTGGGTGGGTCAGAAATCAGTTTAATGGGTCGTGACCAGCATCTTGTTTTTTAATGAAATAACGTGGGGTGGGAGATAGAAGGCGGCCGTTGGTGGCAGAAAGGGTGCCGTGGCCTGACCTGGCATCAGTTTGTATACAGGTGTGGGCACATCCTGATGTAAATGGACTTTCCCACGCGAGACCCAGAGAAGGAAGGGAGCTGCTCAAGGCCACCGGGTGGCTGGACCACCTTCCCCTGCCCGCTGGGTGGTCATTGCCAAGCCCCTTACGGCCCCACATCAGCAAGGCGCTGGCGTCCAAGCTCAGGCCCGTCAGAGGAGTGAGGAGCAGGGCCCGGTCCTGGGGTGGAAGGAGCCAGACCCACTTTCCCATCCAGTGATTCGGGAAGAGGCCCCAGTCCTGCAGTCCAGCCGCACCCCCCTACCCCCAGGTGAAGCATTCTGGGGGCCAGGTGTGCTTTCCGCCTCATCAGACCGCCTCTAGCGTGGAGGCTGGGAGGGCGCATTTCATGCAGGCCCTTCGGCCCCTGTAGGTAGTGGCTCCTCCGACTGCTCACTCCGTCTGGCTGCCGGCAGAGTTGCCAGCAAAGCCGGGGTGCCCACCCACTCGCCGGCCTCATGTAGGGACGTGATGGATGCCTTTCTCTGCCTCCCTAATTGCCTCCGGCTTCTTCCCAGCAGATAGTTACAAGGGCACCTGTACCTTTTGTTTCTGTAATCGCAGGCGTTGTGGAAAGCGTAGGGCAGGAAGGGAGGACTATAGGATATCACAGAAGATGTTCCTTGGAGCTGTGGTCTCGAGGTTTAGGCTCGGATCCAGGACGCTGCCTTGCGCCTCCTCCTCACGTTCACGTTCTTAGCAGACTTTGCGAAAGGCTCAAAGAGAGGATTTCCCTCCCAAACCACCTTTTGAAAGTTAGCTTTTGGAAGGAGGCACCGCGGTTTTGTGGCGCTGTTGCTAGTACTGAGGCGGAGTGCAATCATCCATAGTATTTCCTGTAGGTCCCAGTCCCCTTTCACCCCTCCCCACTGCCAGGCCAGGGCACCCAGCGTGATCTGTCTGAGAAGATGAGTGGTGAGAGGCGGCTGCGGGCGGCTCCCACCCTGTGATAGCTGACTCCCTCTCCGCCCCCCGCCAGCATGGTGACCGCGCTGGATCTCGGAGTAGCATCACTGGGTTTTTTTAAAAGTGCTGCCTGCCCGCCTGCTTCCTCCAGGAAATTGGCGTTTGGGCCGCATCTGGAGAAGCAGCCAGAAGTTCTATAGAACCCAGGCCCATCGAGCTGGTAACTCCCATCATGTGTGCCGACTTGGGGCCTGGAGTGGAGAGAACAACGTCTGGGACCAGAGGGGCCTGAGCCAGTGGGTCACCCCCTGGCGGCTGAGACCGGCACAGCAGAGCGATGGCTCCTGCTTCCGCTTGTCAAGTAACCGCACAATTCTGCACAGTTGTTCCCAAAGAAAACCACGAGGCTTCCTCAATGAGGGGAATTAGAACTTTCACTGCTTTTCTCCCACTTCCATGGCCCAAGGGAAGTATCCTTTGCCGCGAGGAAAAGGGCAAAGGGAAGAAAATGCAGTCCTGGGTCGCAGGCTGCAGGTGAAGCGGTCCCGGGGGCTCACCCAGGAGCCCAGGCGAGGGCCGCGCTTCCCGCTGGGCTGCCAGGCGCAGTCCCTGCGCTCAGCCCCGAGGCCTGGGCACAGCGCTCAGCCCCGCTCTGCCAGGAACAGCGCTCAGTGCCCCCCCCGCCCCCGCCGGAGAGGGCGGACGCAGCCCGCGGCCAGCAGCGCTCTGCGCTCCCCGCCCGCCCGGACTCCGTACACCTGTCTATTTTTATCCTCCGAGGACATGTGCTCTCTGTGAGTCTGATTTAGAATGGAAATGAATCATTCAGCTGGAACTGTGCAGCAGTGGCTAAGAAATATGTCCATTATCGTGTACATAAAGCACCGTGATGGATGCTTTGTCCGGGAGGGGCTGGTCCGCGGTCTCGGCTCCCGCCCCCCCCTTGTCTTGGGCCCGCACAGTCATCCGTCTTCTCGTGGGGGGCTCAGAGCAGCTCTGTGTCCCGGAGGAATCGTGAAGCAAATGCCACTCACCCAGGGCAGTGTTTAGTGTGTTTTTTTAAAAGCACCTTTTCTGCCGGCTGGTGGGCTCAGTAGCTGTCGTTCCAGATACAGCTGAACCAGGAGGTCCTGGTTCGATTCCTGGTCAGGGCACATGCCCGGGTTTTGGGTTCAAGCCTCAGTAGGGGTGTGCAGGAGGCAGCCGATCAGTGATTCTCTCTCGTCATTGATGTTATCTCTCTCTTCTCTCTGAAATCAATAAAATATATATATACATTAGTTTTAAAAGCACCTTTTCCTACATCTTCAGTTCTTCTTCACTTCATTTATCTCCTCTCATTTACATAAAACAACAACAAAAACCTCCGTGTGCTTTCTGGAAAGATGC